CCCAGGACTCCAACAGGGACGCCACCAGACGGCCAAGAGCGCCCAGGAGGTCTTCAAGACGGCCCCAAGAAACGCTGCAGAGGGTTCCAATACCCCAACATCTGCGCCCAACGATCGCCCAACCACGCAGATACTACTGCCCAGGAGGGCCCCAAGACGCCGCAAGTCTAACAAGCCATGCTACCATCGATGTGTTGGCATGCCCCCCGCTAGGATGCCCGAATACCGCTTTCAGATGCACCCCAGATCCCTCGAGATTGCTCAAGGCGGCTCCAAAAATACCCCACATGCCCCAAGGTGCCGCTCAGGTCCCCCAGGCTAGCCGCCCAGCATGGCCCCGAGATAACCCCCGAGCCCCCTGGAGGAGGAGGAGGAGGAGGAGGAGGAGGAGGAGGAGGAGGAGGAGGAGGAGGAGGAGGAGGAGGACGTCCCAACAGAGCCCCACGAGAGGCCCAGGAAGTCCGAAAGGTGGCAGGGCCTGCCATACGATGGCCCAGGGAGACCCCGGAGCTGCCCAGACCTCCGCCACCGTGCCCCCCCTTGCACGCCGAGGCGCGCTGGTGCCGAACGTTGCTCTGGTCGGATTTCTTTAAGTCTTCCGAGTCCCCCCTCGACGCACAGTGGCTCGCGCACCGCCGACCACTCCCAAAGCCCCTGGGTGCACGGCTTCCCCCGGGGACGTAGGCGACCCGACGAGGAGGAGGAGGAGGAGGAGGAGGAGGAGGAGGAGGAGGAGGAGAAGGAGGAGGAGGAGGAGGAGCAGAAGGAGGAGGAGGAGGAGGAGGAGGAGGAGGAGGAGGAGGAGGAGGAGGAGGATCGGTCCAGGCCCCTGCACTGTGGCGTCTCCTTGTCCTATCGGTGCTTCCGCGTCGCAGAATTCGATCTAGAACGCCTGCGCTGGCGTCGCCGGCGCGCCAACGCCGCATGAACCTGCCGTACGGTAAGTTTGCGTCGTGTCGACCCTGGCGCTGGTTCCTGACACTGTGGGGATCGTTCAAACTTGCACGATCGGCCCTTTCAAAAAGGCTGGATCGTTCAAGGATGGGCCGATTCTGGGCCACAGGCAGCGTTCGACCTTACACGCCCTCGCTGGGGTCGCCGCCGGTCGACACGACGCGAACCTGCCGCAATTCAAGACGGGCCAGGCACATCTCAAGCGAACCGCAACCTGAGGATCCCACGAGGCCCCCAAGACAGCCCCAAGAGACCTTCCAAGACGGCCGTGGGGGGCCCGAGGCGGTTCCAAGACGGCCCTAAGAACCCCCCAAGACGGCCCAAGGAGGGTCCCAGGAGGGTCCCAAAACGACCCCACAGGAGCTACACATCCAGTGGGAAACCCATGCCAAGAAACACCCTGCTTGCCTCCAGGGTGCCCTGGGTTTCCTTGGTTTCGATGGTTTTGCTATGGAAAGCGTGACGCTCCCACACCAGACATCAGTGGACGTCCTGGGGTCTCAGGGTTGGGTTTCTTGTGGACGGTTTCTTGTGGTCGACCTCCTACTGTAGACCCACGATCGATGGCCAAGGTAGGCCTCCCGAGAGCCCTCGAGGGCAAAAGTCGATGAGGTGCCGAGAGGTGTCGCACGTCCGTCCTCTGGGCGTCGCCACAGGAGTTGCTGCGCTGGCACGGTGGCGAAACTGGCCGCATGCGGCTGCACAGCAATGAGACGCTGGGCGCGAGTTACCCATCGGTCGGAAGAAGTAGGTATCGGGTCGGGCGAAAGGGGGGGATAGCAAAGGGGGGGTTTGAGAATCAGCTCACGTAGCTGATTTTCCCGGCGCCTCCCGGCGCCGGAGGCGGCTATGCATCGAGGAATGGGCCCCTCGGTGAGGCCGAAACCAGCTGCATGCAGCAAATTTCGTAACCCCCCCTTTCCCAATCCCCCCCTTTCGCCCGACCCGAAGGTAGCAACATGGAGTAGGAAGGCGTTTGAAAGTAGATTGGGTGTCCGCCCGCCCCCTAAAGAGGACAGAAGAGTTGAAGCCACTCGATCATTGAAGTAGGAAGGCGCTTAAAGTAGATTGTTATCTGGGACTCGAGAGCTACATACTTTCAACGACCGATGGGTGACGGGGGGCGATCAATGGGGGGCAGCGAGGGCTGCAGAAAAGTGCCCGTTGAGGGCCCCTAGAGATGAGCCCTCTGGGGCCCAAAGGGGCCTTCAGGGCCCGAAGGGGGCGCCTTTCTTCCCCCCGATTTGTGGAGGGCAGACAATCCACCCCCACAACACCCCGACGCGCGAAGCCGTTCAGCAAACCCACCCACAGAAGGAATCGAACAGGGCAAAGCTGTTTAGTGAACGCCCCAGGCCCTTTGGTAAACGCCCATTGTCGGGTCAGGGTGGTCTTCCCTCCCTTGAATTTACCCCCCCCCCTCCACACACACACAAAAAAAACAATCGCGAAATCGCGCCCAAGGATGGCTCAGCCCGGGTGGGCCGCGGCAGAGAGCGCAGCTCTTCGGGCCGTCAGATCTGCCGCACGAACGTCGGCGGTGGACAAGCCTCCCTTTGGCAAACCTCTCCCCTTCGTGAGAACGGCCTGGGACCGAAACCGACGGACCTGGACCCGCAAAAGCAACGGCCGCGACGCCCTTCGGGAGCGGCCAAGAGGGGGGTGCCCAAGAGGCGGGGGTGCAAATCATGACCGGCGGCATGTGCGCGGCCCAGCGGGGGGGCCAGGGACGCAGAGAAATAAGAGGAGGCGCCGTGACATCTGGGGAGATGTCATGGCCCACGCCATGATATCCACCCCCCCCTAGCCATCACCCCCCTCTTCTCCGCCCCCGAGCCCTCTCGCGACCCGAAAACGGCCAATGCCTTGCTCGACGCGGCCGGGCGGGAAGCCCGCCCGCCTCCGAGGGAAAGACTATTCCCGCAGCGCGGCCGCACAAGGCGCCGGCGCGGCGTGGGGTCTCCGCCTCTCGGCCCGCCCCTGTGGCACTCCCCCGGAGGCCACTCCTGCCTTCGCCCCGAGAGAACAAGGAGCAGGAGAAACGAGGGAGAGAGAGTGTGGGGCGTGAAAACGACCACAGCCACTGCTTTTCTTTTGTTGCCGCCTCCCAGCCCCGAGAGAGAGAGAGGGTTATGTCGGGCGTGTCCCCCTACAGGGGGGCTTTCGACGGAAAATTTAGAAACAATGCACCAAACAAAGCCCCCAAATGGTCGACAACTATTCAAACAATAATCCCCAGACTATTCTTGGACTATTTTCTTACTATTTTTTGGGGGCATATCTTATTCTCCGTCGAACATCCCCCTGTGGGGGGACAGGCCCGACTTAAGGGGAGTCAGGGAGAACAGGGGCTTGCCATCGCTCGGACGTCCCTTCCCCGTGCTCGGCCTCGTGCGTGCCTTTTTTTTGCCACGGAGGGATCCAGGATGCTCCTCGATGGCCCTCGCCGAAGGAGAAGTGCCCACGTCCGAGCGATGCGGAGGAGGAGGAGGAGGAGGAGGATGAGGAGGAGGAGGAGGAGGAGGGAGGAGGAGGAGGAGGAGGAGGAGGAAGAGGAAGATCCAAGAAATCCGCGCATCCAAGAAATCCGCGCGGAGCGCCAAACGTGTATGTTTATGCCGTTTCTCCCGGATAGCTCTTAGAGAACTGAGAGGGTTGCAGATTCAGAAGCTGGAGCCGCAAGGTAGCCCCCGGAGCTCCTTCGGGCTTCCTGCCGAAATCCCCTGCGAAGGCGGCTGTGAACCGGACAGAGGCCGTCGCACGCCCTTCTGGCGCCATGCTGTCCGAGTTTTGGATTCTACAGGCTTCTTCTTCGACCAGAGGGGGCATAGGAGGATGCTGGTGGTGTGAGCAGTGCTGCTGCCGCTTCTGCGATCCCGCCTGGGACCCTCCCGAGCTCCAGCTCGGGTGGGGCAGTGCCCCTGGGGGCCAGAGAGGGAAGGGGGGAGGTGAGTGCGAACCCTCTCCGTTGTTGTCGAAAAAGACAAGCCAGAGAACGCGTGCCCTCTCTCCTCGCACACTTCCTTCTCCCCCACCTCCTCCTGCTTCTCGTGGTGGTCCGCACTCCTCCCGAAGGAGGGAGATGACACAGGGCAGGATGAGGAACTGAGGAGGAGGAGGAGGAGGAGGAGGAGGAGGAGGAGGAGGAGGAGGAGGAATGAAAACGAATGACAATGAGGAAGGGAGAGAATGGGGGAAGAAGAGTCTCAACACCTGTACTCCTCCATCGCCCTCCTCCTCCTCCGTCCTCCTTTTCCCGCTCCTCCTTCCCTTTCCCCTCCCCCGTCCATCTACGTATCTCACTCGTCCTGCCCCGTCCTCTAACCTCCTTCTACTCCACCTCCTCCTCCTTCTCATCCTCCTTCTCTTCCTCACACTCTTCGTTCTCACTCCTCCCGTCTCCTCTCCTATCCTCGAACTCCTTCCTCTCCCAGTCTGCATCAATTACCCTCCTCCACCCTCCTCCTCCGCCTCCTCCTCCTCCTCCGCCTCCTCCTCCTTTGCCCCCCCCCCCCCCCCGAAGGGCGCGCAAGGATTGGGGGGAGAGAGGAAGAAGGAGGAGGGGATCGACGAGGAGGAGCAGTCTAGCGGAGGAAGAGGAGGAAGACGAGCTGCATGCTGCAACGACCCGATACGTTGGCGGAGAGAGGAGGCGGAGAAAGACCTTCGGAGGCCTCCGCTGGACCCGGGGAGCCTCTGGAGAGCTCCGCGGACGTCTCCTGGAAGCCTCTGGAGGCATCCGGAAGTCCGCGGACGCCTCCTGGAAGGGCCAAGCCGCCACAGCGTACTGAGGCCTCACCCTTTCTCCTCCTCCTCCTCCTCCTCCTCCTCCTCCTCCTCCTCCTCCTCCTCCCTCCGCGCCTCCCTCGGCCACCTCCTCCTCCCTTCCCTCCTCCCTCCCACCCTCCTCGTCTCCCCTGCTCCCACCCTCCCTCCCGCTCCCTTGCGCACCCTGCCGCCCCTCCCTCCCCGCTGCCCGCCTCACTCTGCCTTCCCCCCCCCTCCTCCTCGCCCGCGGCCGTGCAGGTGCAGGGCGGCTGCCGCCCTCACATCTGGTTGGAATTGCCGTCCAGATCCCCCGCGGCACCCGTGCCTGCCGCCGCCGGCGGCGGCGGCTGCGGCGCCGGCGAAGGCGACCGCGGCGACACCCGGCGACGGCAGCGGTGGCGACGAGGGCGACGGGGGCGAGGACGTGGGGGAGGGCGGACGAGGCAGGCATGGAGGGGGGAAGGAAGGGGGAGAGGATGGAGGGAAGAGCATCCTGGTTCTCCTAGCCCCTGGCCCTCCTTTCTCCTCCTCCCCCTCCTCACAAAGAAATACACGCAAATATAGCAGGACGCCCCACATCTCCCACAGAGCGCTCGAGGGGCGGCGGAATGAGCGGAGCGATTGAATAACAGGATGCCCCACATCTTCCCATACTTCCCACCTTTTCCCATACTTCCCTCCCGCTTCCCACTTCCCATCCTTTCCCATACTTCCCTGGGGACCGACGACTCATTGTGCCTGTGTGTGTTTTCCCCCCCCCCCGATCGATGGGCTCGGAGCAGCTGAAGGTCGGAGGACCGCCCCGCACCGCCGATACCTCGGCGATGCCTCGGCGACGCCTCGGGCGACGCCTCCGCGGATGCACCCGGCGAGGCACCGGCGGCGCGGGCGAGGCATCGGCGACGCCGACGTGGCGCAGATCGGGCTGCACGTCGAGCCGCGCCGGCGATGCATCGGCGACGCGGCGCGGTCCTCCGACCCCATCTGCTCCGACCCCATCCAGGAGGCCTGGAGTCTAGATCCGCGCGAGCGGGTGCGTGTCTGCGGCCCCCGGACCTTCGATCCTCCATCCCCGCCCCCCAGCGCTCGGGGCCTGCTCTGTCCGGTGGCGGTGCGGCCCGCGCGCACGCGCGTGCGCTTGCAAGGGCGGCGCTGGCCCCCCAAAGAGCCGCCGCGAGGCATGGCCCCCTTTGTCCTAGCGGCTGGCGTCCGTCATGAGCGGATGCTACAGTCGGACTCGATTGGACAGGACACGCGAGAGGACACAAGACCCTTCCGAGGGCCACGTTGCCACAGAAATGCAGGAGGCATGGGTCGCAAGACACAGGACATGAGGGTACCCCTGGTCTGGCAGGGTCGACCTACTCATCCGGGCCGCCTGTAGTCCTTGATCGTTCCTCGCTCCTCCGTCCCCGCTCCCCAGCGCGCCTTTGCGCATCATCGCCATGAACTCCTGCGGCGGGCGCGTCCGGCAGAAGGGGGGCGGGGGAGGCATATGACAGCCTCGCGGGAGGGGGGGGAGCCTGCCCTCCTCCTCCTCCTCCTCCTCCTCCTCGCGATCGCTCGGACGTGTGTTCCCCGTGCATGTGTTTCGGTTTCGCGCGCGCATGTCTCGCAAGATGGTCTAGTGTGCTCCTCGATGTAGGTCGGGCATGTCCCCCTACAGGCGGATTTTGGACGAAACCTAAAAATGGTCAACAAAAAAATAAGCATACCCAAACATGATCAAACACTGGTCCCCAGACTATTTTTCTACTATTCTTGAATATTCCTCCTGTAGAGGGACACGCCCGACTAATCCTCGATGGTCCTCTCCGAGAACAAGTGCGCACGTCCGAGGTATGCCAAGCCTCTCCCCTGCCCTCCTCTCCTCTCCCTAACCCTGTGGGGGACGAGGAGGGCGGAGCACGAACGGGGTGGAGGATCCACTCTCTTGGCGAGGGGATCCGCTCTCTTGGCGAGTGCGAGGTGGGAGGGATGGGGGCAGGAAGATTTGAGGAGCAGCATGGGGAGGGCGGAGACAAGAAGAGGTGGAAAAGAGGCAGGAGGGAGTGAGCACTCGAGGAGGAGGAGGAGGAGGAGGAGAAGGAGGAGGAGGCGGAGGAGGAGAGGCAAGGAGAACGAGACAGAGGAGAACGAGGCGGAAGGATAATCGAGCGAGCAAAGACGGCATCTCCCGTACGCATGCCTCCGCCCTCCCCCCTCCTCAGGATGCGGTGGAGGAGAGCGCAACAACAGCGAAACAAGCAATGGCATTGAACACAAGAACTCGGAAGCCCGCGCGGACCTCTTCGACCGGCGCTGGACCCGCCTCGGGCCCCACCGCCGACCCGCGGAACTCGCGTGGACCTCCGAGTTTCTGTGCTTATGTATGATGGGGCGCCGGGACACACAAATAAATACACACAAATAAAACACATTCCCCATATTTTCGAATGTTTTCTCGGTTTTTGTCTTCCCCCCCACTTCCCATATTTTCCCACACTTTCTGGGAATCGACGCTGAATTGTGTCTGCGTGTTTTTTCCCCCTCCTGAATGTAATTGTCTGTCTCCCGAAGCGAGGAAGCAACAGTCGGGCCGGGCGAAAGGGGGGGGGGATAGCAAAAGGGGGGAGTTTGAGAATCAGCTCACGCAGCTGATTTTCCCAGCGCCTCCCGGCGCCCATGCATCGAGGAATGGGCCCCTCGGTGGGGCCGAAGCCAGCTGCATGCAGCAGATTTCGCAGCCCCCCCCTTTCCCAATCCCCCCCTTTCGTTCGGCCCGAAGCATGGGGAAACACAGCGTGGAGCAGCAGGCGAGAGACCCCGGCGAGGATGCGGGGGATGACTGCGGCGGGAAGAGCGCAGCAATCGGCGGCGGCTCGGGCGGCAGGGATCGGCGGCGGCTGGAGGAGGCAGGGGGCGAGCAGCGCGCCCTTCCGTAAGACGAAGGCAAGACGAGGACACATTTGAAGGGGCCCTGGGACACACGAATAAATACACACAAATAACATGATTCCCCATATTTTTAGGTTTTTTTCTGGGTTGTTGCCTTCCCCCCCACACTTCCCATTTTTCTATTTGTTCTAGGGGATCGACGATTCATTGTGCCTGTGTGTTTTCTTCCCTCCTGAAAATTCCGGTGAGGGCATCGGGCGTCGCGGCCTTCTCAGAGCGTCCTGGAACGCTCTGGAACGGATTGGTCCTCGTCCTGGCCCCGTCTGATTCTGCCCCTCGCGGAGGTGACGTGCGGGAGGCGGCGATGGGGCGGGGTCCTGGAAGTCGATCTCACCGTCGCCTGGCTGGCGGGAGCGTGGCGGCAAGCAGGAGCTAAGGAGGAGCAAGGCGAGAAATGGCGGGGGCGGGGGAGCGACAACGACGAACGCCCGGCGTAGCAGCATGCTGGCCTTCGGCTGGGAGGGGGGGGGTCACCCCTACCCAGCTTCCCGGTCGAGCAATCAAAGCAAGAGGAGGGGGGCGAGGTCAGGCAGCGGAGGAGAGATAGCAAAAAGAAACACACTTCAGTGCGGCCGTGCCCCTCTGCAAATAGAACGAGTACATCCGCTACCGTGCCACTGGGCTCGGAGTGGGCGACCCTGGCCCTCCAACCTTCCATACCTTCCAGGAGGCGCGCGCAGTTGCAAATGTGTCTCTTTTGTATCTTTTTGTCCCTTTTTGTCTCTTTTCATTTTGCAATGTCTCGTTTTGTCCTCTTTTGTTTTGTGATGGCTGTTGATGGTTGTTAATGGTGAATTGGTGATGACCCAATCCTCCAAGCCTCAACCCTCGCTCCTGCATAAGGAGGTCTTCAAGGGGCCCAGAGCCCAAATTGCCAAAGTCGGCAGGGCTTCTCGCGTGCCCCCTGGGCTCCCCCGCATCTTTGAAGGGGCCCCAGGACACACAAATAAATACTCACAAATAAACATATTGCCAATATTTTCCTGTATTTTCGGGGTTATTGTCTTCCCCCCCACTTCCCATATTTCCCTACCTTTTCCTGGGGATCGACGGTTAATTGTGTCTGTGTGTTTTTTCCTCTCCTGAATCTTGTCGCGCGACTTTTTCGGGCCAAACAGGGCCCCAATACGGGCCAAGAGGGCCCCAAGAGGCCCTGAAGATGGTCCAAGAAGGCCCCGAGTCGCCGAACGATCGCTTCCAGACGGTCAGGCTGGTTTCCAGGCAGCCCACGAGGCCTTCAAGGCGCCCCAAGAGGCCTCCCAAGAGGCCTCCCAAGAGGGCCCCAAGAGGCAACAAACTTTGATTTTCCTTAGATTTGGAAAAGTGTTGGCTTTCTCACCTTTTCGGATTCCCGACGCTCCAAGACGGCCCAAACCGGCCCCCAAGATCGCCCCAAGCCGGCCTTAAAAGGCTCCAAATATGGCCCTCAAACGGCCCGACATGGCCCCAGGACGGTCCCAGAGGCGCCCAAGAGACGGCCCAAGAAACCCCAAGACGGCCCCAAAAGGGCCTCAAGAGAGGGAGCAAGAACCAAACATCCGAGCCTTCCGCCCCAAGAGGACCCCAGGAGGCCCCCAGAGGCGCCACGGAGGCCCCAATATGCCCCCCAAGAGGCTCAACATATTGCCGAAGAGGCACCCAAACGGCCCCCAAGAGGTCTCAAAACCGCTTCCCAAGAGGCCCCCGAGAGGCCTCCCACGAGATCCCAACGAACATCCAATAAGTTTCACACCCGCAACCCAGGCACGGTGGCGGGATGGGCGGAAGGCCATTACTTAGATACTAAGAGCAAGACAACGATGACCTCCACCAAGGCGACGCCGAGGGCAGATGAGATGAAAGTAAAGACAGTGATAATGAGACTGTCAAGTGATGAAGTCGCAAATCTACGTCACCCCCAAAGCTTCTCCAGCGATGCTAGGAACAAGAGGAAGGTGACGACGAGCTGAAACTCCGACATGCCGAATTTGCAGAATATTCTGAGTGCGCGGCGAGAGCCAGCAGATGAAGACCGTGTTCACGCAACAGAAGTGACATCCCACGGACGCTATGTACGAAACCACCACACTACCGCCCCTCCTTCCGCAACTGTCCGAAAACACGTACAGCCAAAACTGACGGCAAGGATGCGCGATAGGGATGCCAGCCCCTTGAACGCCCATGTCGAAGCTTTCCGAGCGGGGCTGGCCATCGACAGTGGTTAGGGGTGGACCGAAGTGGTAAGGATGCAAGGGTGCCCCAGGGACGGTTACTCCAGATTTCGTAATAAAAGGGAGGGGGTCACAACCCTCCCAGACGAGAAGTTTTAGACCCCTCCAGACCATCCATGAAAGGGCGGCCCATTGCCCAGATCCCCCCCGAACCCTCCAGTACAGTACAGCAGCCTTGCATCCGAGTGGACGCGTAGGCAAAGCAAGCGAACAGCCAAACGCTGTGCAGAGCGGCGACAGGCGAGAGAGCCCGGCCAAACGCCGGCGCCGAACAGAATTCGATAGATGACGATGAGGATGAATCAAATCAGCCTTGCATCATGTGGTACACTGAGTTCACCCATTGTTGTCGTGGGCGGCCTCTGCGTCTCTGGTGAACCCATTGCTTTGGCGTGGCGTCGGGGTTGCATACCACTTGCCTTACCAATGAGTTTGCGTCATAGCAGGTGATCTTCCTGTACAACTGGATCTGCCGATCGTGCAAGATATTCGACAACGTTTTCATACATGATTTCTCCAAAACTGTGACATTAGACGCCCGTGATATGTACGAACAAGGAATCTTCAATATCTTTCTCAGACACTTGCATTGGAAAGCATCAATCCTTGATCTGTCGGATTTCAAGAGCCATAAAGAATCGAGCGAATATAAGAGCTTGCTGACGACACAGGCAGAAAATATATGCAGCTTCCGTCGCGACGTTATAGAAGTGTGCGCCCAGATTTTGTTCAGATCGCGAAAGACGGCGCCCGCTTCTCCCAGCCTTCGAGATATCTCATTCCCGGCGCGACCATCGCAGGAAACCAAGCCTCCCAAGTACACTGCTTCTCTTGCTGTTTTGATTGGGTTCCCATTTGGCTGCCGCACCACACCAGTAGTTGAAATTTGGATTTGTATTGTTTTGTCCCAGTTTAACTCCAAGCCATACTTCTGCTCCTCTAAAATGACTGCGTCCAATATCAATTGTAAATTCTCCGGGTGTTTGGAGAGCAGCAGCGTGTCGTCAGCGTACAGGATGTCCCTTGTCACGACATACGCGGGCTCTTCCAGGAGAGACAGGTTCTCGAAGACATCGTGCAACATGACTGATTGAACCGCAATGAAAAGATATGGTGATAAAGGGCAGCCTTGGGCAATTCCTGCAAACTGTCTGCGTTCCGACGAACGCCCGCTGTGGTCAACTACAGTGAAGTACCTCTCAGAATAAATGCCCCGTATCATCTGCACCATAGGATCTGGCAGGCCAAACCTTTCCAACGCTTTGCAGAGACAATCTGGCTTCAAGCGATCAAACGCTTTTGCCCAGTCCAACAAAAGCAATAAGATGCCATCGTTCTTGTTTGAGCGTGCTGCATCAATAATTCGCCTTATCAGCATCAGTGCGTCCGCCGTGCCACGCCCAGGGCGGAAGCCAAACTGGGATGATCGCATTCTTCCTTCTGACCCTCCGAACCCTCCAAGACACCTCAAATCAGACCCCCCCAAAATGTGACCCCCCTCACTTTACTATGGAATCCGGAGTACCCGTTCCTACATCGATTTCGACAGTAGTTGCTCATACTGTGACCAGGATGATGGAAGTGGCAGAGCGGTGGCACGATGATCACCAGAGCTTTCACCGAGGCTGGCCACGATCGAGCAACACCATGTGAAGCGCGGTTCAGTACTCCAGATTTCGTAATAAAAGGGAGGGGGTCTCAACCCTCCCAGACGAGAAGTTTTAGACTTTCCCAGACCATCCATGAAAGGGCGGCCCTTCGCCCAGACCCCCCCGAACCCTCCAAGACTGCTCAAATCAGACCCCCCCCAAATGTGACCCCCCGACTTTATTATGGAATCTGGAGTAGTCGATCCCCAGGGCTTTCACAGAACGGACCGCTACCAAGCAGCAGCGTGTGAAGGTACCAAACTCCCACCCATCGAGCACGTTGAAGTACGCCCAGGCGGCAAGGAGGAGGGTTCAATCAAGTTCGGAGCCTGCGGAACCTCCGACGACGTGCAAGCTGGGACGGACCTCGACGAAGATGACCGTGAATGTCATGAAAACGACAGAAAACACGACAAGTATACCACCTTGCGAACGGTGAGAAACAACGTGCTTCTTTGCCTTGTTTTGTTACATCGAAAAGGTCGCCCATGCAAGACGCGCCGACCAGCCCATAGAGGGATCACAAAATGCAACAAGCATCGACCCTAGACGAGGACAATGACGACGTGACGACGTCGACGGCGGCGCGGACGACGACGGACGATGATCGACGCCCCGACCTCTCCTAGAGCGCGCTCTGATCAGACTTGCGATGCGTACCCGGCCGTGCCAGTCCGGGCGGAAGACGAGAAAGGAAGGGAAGAGGGGCCAGAAAAAGGGGGTTAGCGATTCGGCCGCATGCAGTTAATCTTCCCGGTCCCTAGCTGGCCATCGCTGGGACGTCCATTCCCTGTGCTTTTTTCGGTTTCGTGCGTGGTTTTTTCGCCGAATGATCAAGGGTGCTCCTCAATGGTCCTCGCCGAAGGAAAAATGCACACGTCCGAGCGATGCCAAGCCAGAGGGGCCCGGAGCTGGCATTGTCCTGCGGACGCTCCCAGCGGCTCGGCGGAAAAGACTTCGCGCCCTTCCCGCCTTCTCCCCACGGCGGCTGGCCCAAAGGGGGGGAGACACCGACACGGAACTGGTGGTACGTCGACGATGCATCGAGGCAGGCCCCCGAGGCTGAAGCGGCACCTGCCTGGGCGGAGCGGGCTGTCGGGCATCCATCGGCGATCCGTGGGGGAGCGGGTCTCGATGCGTCCCCCCTGAGCCTATCCCCCCCTGAGCCTGGTCGTGACCCCTGACCTCCGAGCCCTCCCCGACTCTCGAGACCCTCCGCGGCCGACGGCGACGACGACGACGACGAGGACGACGACGTCATGGAGGCGACGAAGACGACGACGACGACCATCGCTTCTCAGAAGGCCGACACCTCGCGCCCGTTCAAACAAAACCTCCCAGACCTCCCAGACACACGTCAGAGAACCTCGAGAACCTCGACCTCCTCGAGGCTGGGCCGCCGCACCGCAGACGACGACGACCATCGGTTCTCGGAAGGCCGCCACCTCGCGCCCGTTCGAAACCTCCCAGACCTCTCAGACACACGTCAGGGAACCTCGAGAACCTCGGCCTCCTCGAGGCCGGGCCGCCGCACCGCCCGGCGACGGCGCCGCCTCCTCCTCCTCCTCCTCCTCCTCCTCCTCCTCCTCCTCCTCCTCCTCCTCCTCCTCCTCGCTCCTCCTCCTCCGCCGCCTCCTCCTCCTCCTTCTCCTCCTCCTCGTACCTTCCCGTCGCTGGAATGGGCAGCTCGTCAGTGCCGCACGCCCAGAAACAGTCAGGCTCGAACGAGCCATGGAGCCCACGTCCTCCTCGTCAGGGCTGAGCCTAAACGGTGCTTTTCGGTTTCGTTTTGTTTTCGTTTTCCCTCGTTTCATCTTCAATCCGCCTTTTAACGCAAAACGAAATCGGAACGAAAACGGCCCACGAAATCGCCAAAACACCGTTTACGTCCACCCCTGCTCCTCGTCCTTTCCTCCTCCGGCATGCGCCGAGACCGGCCCGAAGGCGAAGGCGACCCGCACCCCTCGAGCCCCGATTCTCGAGCCGAGCACGGCGACGACAGGGGCGAACAGCCCAGGGGCGGGCACGACGCGTATTCGCCCAGGAGCCCTGTCGAAGACATAGATCATCGGCGCACCCGGACACGTGTACAGTCGGGGCGTTGACCTAAGGAACCCTAAAATAAGGAACGAGGCCCCTCTTTCCAGAAGTCGAACTTCGATTTCCGATCGGAAGCATAAGGAACACCTGAGGCAAGCTGTGAAACACTTGAGGAACACGGAGCCCCTCCCCAACGAAAAGGGTTCCTTCCTCAGGGCCCCGACTGTAGATCATCGGCGCACCTGGGCACGTGTATTTAGGGGGCAAACAAACCTACCTCGCTTGACCACCCTCGCTTCCAAGAGATACCAAGCGATGCCAAAGTACGGCCTGTACTGGTCAGGCCGCTTGACGAGGAGGCGCGTGGTATGACTTGGTTTTGCCTGGACGCGAAAGTGGGGTAGGTAAGTCACGCTCTGAGTATTGCTCTCCCCTGGGCTATTCGCACCTGTCGTCGCCTCTGAGAGCAGAGCACGGCGACGGCACTCCGCGGGCGGCCGGCGTCGCCGCTGGTGTCCACCTCTCGCAGGAGGGCCTCCATGTCCTGGGGGCAGGCCGGCAGCCGACAGGAGGCGGGCGCCGGTCGCCGTCGCGCCTCGCGCGCTGCCGACGACCCTCTCCCGACGCCTCACTCGCACCGCAACTGCAACTGCGGAGGCTCTCTCTCTCTCTATACATACACATATATATATATATATACATCGTTACACACATATATAAATAAATATATATATATAGATAGAGAGAGAGCGACACACATATATGTATGGTGTACATATATATATAGATACAGAGAAGAAAGAGAGAGAGAGAGACACACATATCTATCGCTATACACACGCATACACATACACATGCATGTTTACATCCACGCATCGGTATACACAGCCACATACACACATGTGTATACATATACGCATCTGTGTATACACTATACACATATATATATATATATATGTATAGCCCACACTAGAAACATTCGCGCGCGCGCTCCGCGCGCGCTCTGTCTCCAGGTAGCTTGAGGCGTCGGGGAGTGCAAGCTGTGCACGTGCTGGACTCCTCTTGCCTCCTCTTGCCCTGCCTTGCCCACTCGCTTGGTCGAGGCTGCCGTTCTCCGTCCTCTTTCTCCTTGCATTCTGCCTTTTTCTGCTGCTTCCTCGGCCCTCGACCACGTCGTTCGGATGTCGTGCAATGGTTGACGGGGGCGCAGTGGTTGACTCCTCACTCTCCTCCTGCCCTGCTTTGCTCGCTCGCTTGTCGGCGGCGAGCGAGGGGGGGAAGTGAGAAGGGGCGGGCCTTCTCAGAAGGCTCAGAAATCCCCCGGCCTTCTGAGAATGGTCCCGAGCCTTCCCCGAAGGCACGGGAAACTTCTCAGAGGGCGCGAGGGCTTCTGAGAAGTCCCGCCGCCGTCTGAGAAGGCCTCCTCCTTCTCACTTCCCCCCCTCGCTCGCCGCCGAACTTGTTCGCGGCTATCGTTCTCCGTCCTTTCTTCTTGCACTGTGCCTCTTTCTGTTGCTTCCTCAACCCTCGTCCACGTCGCTCGGATGTCGTGCAATGGTTCTCGGGGGCGCTTTGGAGACAATTTTGAAGCCCTTTGGGCGCTGTTTTTTCAAGCTTCTTGGGCCGTCTTGGGGCTCTTCTGGTCTGTCTTAGGGCGCTCTTGGGAACCTCTTGGGCTGCCTTGGGGCGGTTTTAGGCAGGGGCTCCTTGGGCCATCTTCAACGCCATGAAGGCAAAATCGTGTATACCAGCAATGTACGCTTTCCTGGGCGCTCTTGGGAGTGCCCTTGGAGGCTTCGCGGGACGTCTCGGCAGGTCTCTTGGTAGGTCTTGGGGTCATCTTGGGCGTCTTGGAGCGGTTCTTCGGCGATTCGCAACCCTCTTGGGCCATAGTGGGGGTTGTTGACGGCCTCCTGGCCCGCCTCTCCTCCTCCTCCTCCTCCTCCTCCTCCTACTCCTCCTCCTCCTCCTCCTCCTCCTCCTCCTCTTCCTCCCCCTCCTCCTGCCCCCGCTGCTTCCCCGGGGTGGAGCAGCGCAAGGGACCGGGCGGAGACAGCGGGGGGGGGGCCCCTGGCGGAGGTGCGGGGGCCGAGTCCTGGTTCTTGCCGAAGGCGTCCGTGACTTCCCTGCCGGCCCGACCCTCCAGGTGCCGGCGCGGGCGGGGGGAAGCGAGGGAGGAGGTGGAGGAACGGAACGGGGGAGGGGTCGAGGATCAGGCTCTGCCCCCAGGGTGGAGGGGAGCTAAGATCGAATCTGCTCCCGGAGGGAAGAGAAAGGAGGGGGGAGGACGGGCGGACGGATGCTCCTTGACGACGGTCCTACACTTGACGACGGTCCTACATCGAGTTCCCAAGGGGAGGGGTGGGAAGAGGAGAGACATCAAGATACCTATGCCGCTACTCCCTGGACCTCTCCAAAGGTGCGTTCGGACCAGAATGTCGAAGATCATCCAGCCGCGGTGGCGAGGGCTCTCCACGACGAGCAGCGTTGTGCGTAGATGTTCATCCCCTGGAGGGAGGGGAAGGGAGCGGGACGGCGGAGGGAAGAGGGATGGGGGAGGGTAATTAAGGGGAACACATGGACGAGGGACGAGGGAGGAGGAGGAGGAGGAGGAGGAGGAGGAGGAGGAGGAGGAGGAGGAGGAGGAGGAGGAGGAGGAGGAGGAGGAGGAGGAGGAGGAGCAGGAGGAGGATCCACTTGGCCAGGTCGAGCGGGGCAGAGGGCCCCGCCTATTCTCACCCTCCCTCCTACTGCAAGACCCAGCCGTGCCACACTCAGATCTCGGACCTGCAGCGCCCGCCCCCCCCGCAGACGCAACGCGCGCTCGCGCGCGGCTCCGCTTCCGACGACCTGGCGAAAGCGACAGCCGCGCGGGCCGCGCAGGGGCGGCATCGGCACAGCTTCCGCCAGACGCGCGGCGGGGCCGGAGCGTGCGCCCCCGCCGACACAGGCAGTACCTGCCAGTCTCCATCGCAGGCCGCGCGGCGACTGGGGCGAGGTCGGCACCCCGCCCGCTCTCGCGCGGCCCCGCCGCCGCCGTCGCCGAACTCCGAAGTGTCGCACGAGCCGTGCGCCGTGCGCGGGCTGGCCGTCGCTGGGACGTCCCTTCCCTGTGCTGTGTTCGGTCTCGTGCGTGGCTTTTTTCGCCGAATGATCAAGGGTGCTCCTCAATGGTCCTCGCCGAAGGAAAAATGCACGCGTCCGAGCGATGCCAATCGGGGCACCTGGCTCCCGAGCGAACATGAGCACGGAGTTTGGAAGCCTGAAAATTGGCACCAACACCAAGACAGGGGGCTGCCTCCACAGGGGGAAGATGATCCTAGATTTCGGTGTTGGTGGTAACAGTTCGGTCACCTTGGAAGCCAGAATATTACCACCACCACCGAGATCGGGATCTTTCTTCCCTCGGTGGAGGAACAGCGCCGATGTTGGTGTTGGTGTCAACCTCTAGGCCTGCGACCACCCCAAAGGTTGGCGAGTGCAGCGCGTGCCCTGCGTCGGGGCGGGGGCGCCACTTTTGCCGGGCAGCAAAACTAGGGCTCCCAACTTCGCGCTTCGCGCTGCGCGAAGCGCGAAGCGCGAATAACTTCGCGCTCTCGCGCCGCCCTCCCAAAGGGAGAATAGGAGGACGAGGAGGAGGGGGAGAAGGAACGAGGACCGCGAAGCGCGAATAACTTCGCGCCCTCGAGGGAGCCCTTGCAAAAGCGGTGCAGCGCCGAGGCGACAGCGGCGTGTGGTTCGCCCGCCCGCGCGTCGACGGGCCTCGGGCGCGACAGCATGTGCGCCACGCCGCGCAGCGGGGAGCGGCCAAGATGGGGGCGTCCAAGAGGGGGGGGTGCCACTCATGACCGGCGGCACGTGCGCGGCCCAGCGGGGGGGCCAGGGACGTCGTGGAATAAGAGGAGGCGCCACGAGATCTGGGGAAATATCGTGGCCCCCGCCATGATATCCCCCCCCCTGGTCATCACCCCCCTCTTTTCGGCCCCCGAACGCAGCGGGGACTCAACGTCCTCGAGTACAACGTGAGCACGGCGCCGGGGCGCGGACGACAGCTCGGCCTTTCGCACGGCATGCGCGCCCCGTCCCATTCTTGCCGCGCATTTTGCAACCTGGCCAGCATCCTGTCCATGCCGGAACGAATCTCGCCGACCTTGTATTGATTTCGAACATTGGATGGAGGGTCTCTGATGTGGTGGCTATCGGCCAGCTGCGACACAGAGTAGGTGTATATACTGATAGGGAATCCGCCGAACCTGTCGGCGTGTGTGAGGGGCTTGGCTGTTCGAGTCGTCGTCTCCATCAGTCGTCGTCTCCGTCGTCCCCTTTCCCTGCACCCTCCTCCTCAAGCTTGTCAGCGAGAGAAAAATCCGCCGACCCTGTCGGCGTGTGCGAGGGGCTTGGCTGTTCGAGTCGTCGTCTCCGTCGGTCGTCGCCTCCGTCGTCCCCTTTCCCTGCAGCTTCCATCTCAAGCTCGTGAGCGAGAGAAAAATCTAGCAGTGTCGTAATCGAGTCGAAGGGAAGCCCCTTCCCTTTGATCCCTTCCCCAGGGGGGGGGGGGGGGGGTCCCGGGGGGGGTCCCGGGGGGGTCCCGGGGGGGTGGGGGGGCAGATTCGTTTTTCCTCGGGCGGCCTAGAAACCTCGAAAACACTCCAAATGAGGTCCGAATGCCCAAGATGGCCCCCGAGACGGCCCAAGAGGGCCCCGAGTCGCCCAAAGATCGGCCGAAAACGCCCAAGATAGCCCCAAGACCGTCCAAGAAGCCTCCAAGACGTCCCAGGCCCCCTCCAAGAGACCCCCAGGAAGCCCCAAGAGGCCCCCACGAGGCTTCCAAGCGGCCCCTAAGAGCTTCCCAAGAGGCCCACAAACTACCCCCAAGAGGCCCCCAAGAGCGCTCGTCGTCGTCGTCGTCGTCGTCGTCGTCGTCGTCGTCGTCGTCGTCGTCGTCGTCGTCGTCGCCATTCAGGGTCGGCGGCACTGGCCGTAAGGCCTTCGCAATCTAGCAATGTCGTAATCGAGTCGAGAGGAAGCCCCTTCCCTTTGATCCCTTCCCCGCGCGATCCCTTCCCCGCGCCGGGGGGGGGGATCCGGGGGGGGGGTCCCCACCCAGATAAGCTTTCCCCTTCCCCTGGGGGCCCTGGGGCCTCAGAAAGTACCAAGACAGGCCAAGAGTGCCCCAAGATGCCGCCGAGACGGTCCAACAAGGCCCCTAATCGCCAAACGATCGGTCGAAAACGCCTTCACGCCCGCCAGACTGCCCAGGAGGCCTCCAGGACGCCTCCAAGAGCATTCCCGAGAGGGCCCCAAGAAGCCAAAATCATTGATTCTTCGCGGGTGTTTTGAAGATTTGTGCGTCCTCACCTTTTCCACTTCCCGTCGCTCCTAAACGGCGCCAGAGGCCCCCAAGATCTCCCCAAGATGGCCAAAGAGGCCTCCAAGAAGGCACCAAAACAGCCCAAGAGGACCCCCAAGACAGCCCGAAACGCCTCCAAGACGGGCCCAGATGCCCCCAAGACGGCTCCAAGGGCGTGCCTAGACGGAGGACCCGAACTGACATTTCGAGCCCTCGGCCCCAAGAGGCTCCCAGGAGGCCCTTCGAGGTTCCCCAGGCCCCCAAGAGTCGTCCCATAAGGTCCCCAGAAGCCCGAAGAGGCCCCCGAGAGGCTCCCAAGATGCCTCCAAAAAGGCCTCCAAGGGGCCCCAAAATGTCTTCCCAGACGCCACCAGGAGACTTCCGAAGAGACCCCAAGCACCATACCTGGCCCACGTCAGCGTCGTCGTCGTTGCCGCCGCCGCAGTTGCCGTCGCCGTCGCCGTCGTCGTCGTCGTCGTCGTCGTCGTCGTCGTCGTCTCCCTTCAGGGTCGGCGGCACCGGCCGTAAGGCCTTTGCAATGGCGATCGGGGGGAAGAAGGAATGAGGGTTAGGGAAGCAGGGACCAGGGGGAGGGATGGGGAGAGGAGTATTGGGGAGCAGGAGGGCGGAGGAGCGAGACGGATGTGACGGGGGTGCGAGGATACGGGAGGCGAGGCTGGAAGAAGAGAGGGCTACCCTGGAGGGTCTGCATTCCACCTCGGCGGATCCTCTCCCATCTCTTTGTGCGCACGCCGAATCCAGTGAGGTGCGCGCGTGTGCGCTCTCTCTTTGACGCCCAAACAAATTACCCTGGCGAACGACCCACCCATATACAAGTATGAATGCCGCAAGTCCGGTGGGATGGGGGAGCCGAAATGGGCGGGGAGCCGCATGTGGACGCACCCGCTGAGGCCTTCGGGGGAGCCCCCTGTGGTGCCACGAAGCGTGGGACGGGTGTGCCGAAGTGGTCGGGGGGAGGCTATGCGACCGCTGCCGCTGGGGCCTTCGGTCGAGCTCCCTATGGATGGGGGGAACGAAACGCGTGAGGGGTGTGCCGACATGGGTGCGGTGCTGCCGGGGCCGCAGAACGTGTGCGGGGTGCGCCGAAGTGGGCGGGGAGACACAGTGCAAACCCTGCCGCTGGAGCCTTCGATGGAGCTCCTTCTGGGGCCACGGAACTCGTGCGAGCCCTGCCGCTGGAGCCTTCGGCGGTGCTCCCTATGGATGGGGCCACGAGGCGCGTGTAAAGTGCGCCGGCATGGGCGCGGGGCGGCCTGCCGCTGGGGCCTTTCGGTGGAGCACCCTCTGGGGCCGCGAACCGTTTCAAGGGGCGTGCACAGAGGGGCGGGGGACCGCCATGCGGCTGCAGCCACTACAGTCGCGGCGTTGACCTAAGGAACCCTAAATAAGGAACGAGGCCCCTTTTTTCCACAAGTTAAACTTCGATTTCCGATCGAAAACATAAGGAAAGCGTGAGGAAAACTGTGAAACACTTAAGGAACGCGGAGCCCCTCCCCAACGAAAAGGGTTCCTTCTTCAGGGCCCCGACTGTATGGCCTTCGGTGAAGCTCCACCTGGCGTGGCGAACCGTGTGGAGGGTGTGCCGACATGGACGCGGCGCCACCATGCGAACTGGTGCGGTGCGGCCGTGCGGCCGCAACCAGTGTGGCTGTCGGCGGAGCTCCCTGTAAGGGCCACGGCGCGTGCGATGGGGGGCCGAGATTTGTGCACCGCCGCCATGCGGCCGCCACCGCTGTGGCCTTCGGTGGGATCTCCGAAAGGGCCACGAGACGCGCGAGGGGCAAGTCGGATCTGGTGCGGCGCCGCAGTCCTCCTCCTCCTCCTCCTCCTCCTCCTCCTCCTCCTCCTCCTCCTCCTCCTCCTCCTCCTCCTCCCTCATTCCTCATTCTTCATTCCTCCTCCTCCTCCTTCTCCTCCTCCTTCTCCTCCTCCCTCGGTGGGTCTTCCTATGGCGCCACGGGGCGCGTGAAGGGCCGACCGAGATCTGCTCGGTGCCGCCATGCGACCGCAGCCACAGGGGGCCTTCGGTGGAGCGCCATGGAGCCACTGAGCGTGCGCAGGCGTGCCGACACACGGCGTGCGGGGGGCAAGCTCGAGGACGGGAGGGGGCAGAGGGAGCAGCGGGAGGTGAGACGAATGGTGCTGCTGATTCAAAGCGAGGGCCCAACTCGACATCGGATGGTTGGGGAAACGAAGCTCCTGGGACTGCTCCGCCCCGGCAAAGAGGACGCGACAGCGTCAAAACTCGCCCCTCCCTTTCCCGCCCATGCTGGAGCACGTACTTCAACTCTTCCAGCGAAATCTTCCCGTCGCCATTCCTCTGGGGCGGTCGAGGAGGACATGGACGGAGAGAAGCCGCAGCAGCGAGAGACGCAGTATTGACATCGAGGAGGGCGACGATGAGGCGGAGGACGAGACACCGAGGAACAGTGGGGAAGAGCATGATACCAAGGGTGAGTTTGAGGGTGATGAAGAGGCTGCTGCTGAGGATGCTGAGGATGACGATGCTGATGCTGACCATGCTGATGCTGTTGCTGATGCTGATGATGCTGACGACGACGATGACGATGACGATGACGATGACGATGATGATGATGATGATGATGATGATGATGATGATGATGATGATGATGATGATGATGATGATGATGATGATGATGATGATCGTGCGGAGGATGAGGATGATGGGGAGGACGAGGAGGCGGGAGGAGGAGGAGGACAAAGAGGAAGAGGAAGACGACAAGGGGGAGGCGGATCAAGAGGAGACGGACTATGAGGAGGAGGAGGAGGAGGAGGAAGAGGAGAAAGAGGAGGCGGATAATGAAGAGGGGGATTGGGAGGATGAGGATGAGGGGGAGGAGGAGAAATAAGACTAATAGACACACTCATCGTAATGAGCTAAGAAGAAACAGACGAACATACATACTAGTAATCGCCATACTACTGGCAGTAGGATCATTAATGATAACAATACTAGTTTTCCCAACCCTCCTGTGTTCGGTTCTCGCTTTGAATAGAGCAATGTGGTCGCCCCGACCTCCTTCCTCCTCCCCTCTCCTCCCATCCTCCTTCTCTCCTGTTTCCTGTGTTCCCTTCTCCCCATCTCTCAGGCCGTCGGGCTGCGATCTGCGCAACCGTCGCCACTTGTGTGGGCGCCTGGGAGGCCCAGCGGAGGCGCGTCATACGCGGATCACCACGGGACCTCGCCGCCCCTGGGGTCGGGGGGCGATCTGCGCAGCTGTCGCCACTTTCGTGTGCTCCTGGGAGGCCCGACGGGGGTACGTCATACGCGGATCACCACGGGACCTCGCCGCCCCTGGGGGGCTGCGATCTGCGCAACCGTCGCCACTTTCGTGGGCTCCTGGGAGGCCCAACGGACATACGTCATACGCGGATCACCACGGGACCTCGCCGCCTCTGGGGGGCTGAGATCTGCGCAACTGTCGCCACTTTCGTGGGCTCGTCGGGGGCCAAACGGAAGTACGTCATAAGCAAATCACGACGGGACCTCGCCGCCTATGGGGGGCTGCGATCTGCGCAACCGTCGCCACTTTCGTGTGCTTTTGGGAGGTTTAGCGGAGGTACGTTATACGCGGATCACCACGGGACCTCGCCGCCCCTGGGGGGCTGCGATCTGCGCAACCGTCGCCACTTTCGTGTGCTTTTGGGAGGTTTAGCGGACGTACGTCATACGCGGATCACCACGGGACCTCGCCGCCCCTGGGGGGCTGCGATCCGCGCAGCTGTCGCCACTTTCGTGGGCTCCTGGGAGGCCCAGCGGAGGCACGTCATACGCGGATCACCACGGGACCTCGCCGCCCCTGGGGGGCTGGCGATCTGCGCAACTGTCGCCACTTTCGTGGGCTCCTGGGAAGCCCAGCGGAAGCACGTCATACGCGGATCACCACGGGACCTCGCCGCCCCTGGGGGGCTGGCGATCTGCGCAACTGTCGCCACTTTCGTGGGCTCCTGGGAGGCCCAGCGGAAGTACGTCATACGCAAATCACGACGGGACCTCGCCGCCCCTGGGAGGCTTGCGATCTGCGCAGCTGTCGCCACTTTCGTGGGCTCCTGGGGAGCCCCAGCGGAGGTACGTCATACGCGGATCACCACGGGACCTCGCCGCCTCTGGGGGGCTGCGATCCGCGCAGCTGTCGCCACTTTCGTGGGCTCCTGGGAGGCCCAACGGAGGTCCGTCACACGCGGATCACCACGGGACCTCGCCGCCCCCTGGGGGGCTGCGATCTGCGCAACTGTCGCCACTTTCGTGGGCTCCTGGGAGGCCCAGCGGAGGTACGTCATATGCGGATCACCACGGGACTTCTTGCTGCGCTCTTCTGAAATCACTGCTGGGTGCTCTTCTTGCGCACTGCGGGTCCTTCAGAATGACAGTCAGCATTGAGTGGTCCTGAGTGTACTCGCCGCATGTATAGAAAAGGGTTGGATATGTCACAGGGTAAGTACTTACTATTCGTGCCATTTTCATAATGAAGACGTATAAGAAGAAACGGATTAAGATGACCAATAATATCAGTAAGAAGACGAATAAACATACATGTACTACTCATACGAAGAATACTCGTACGAACAAGAATGACAATGCGCCGGCCCCCTTGTGGGGCCAAGGCCAAAGTTGCTGCTCCCTGTGTCAGTTGCAGTTTCGAGTCTCCAATGTTACAGTCCTGCTTTCTGTTTCCGATTTTAATTTGTTGGAATCCGCGCGAGGGGGGAGCCCCAAATCACTCAATTTACCCCGCCCGGATCAAGCTCTCTGAGTTCATGGGGGGGGTGGCGCGGAACGCATAACAATACTTGATAGTTGCGTCACCGAAGCCAGCACATGACATAATGTTCGCGTCCCCGAAGCCATACACCGTCGTACATTACATAATTCTTGCGTCCCCGAGGCAACACACGCTCGTACATTACATAATGTTCGCGTCCCCGAGGTAACACAACCTAGTAAATTACACAGCGTTCGCGTCCCCGAAGCCATAACCTTCGCAACTTACGCCGTGTTCGCATTGCCGAGGCCAAGAGTGCTCCAAGGCGCCCGAGGATGGTTCCAAGACGGTCCAAGAGGGCCCTCTAGAAGACCGCTAAGATGGCCCAAGCTGGTCATCAAGATGCCTCCAAGATAGCCAATCTGGCCTCCAAGACGGCTAAGATGGCCCCATGATGCCTCCGAGACAGCCCAAGATGCATCCAATATGGCCTCATAGAGCTTCAAAAAAGCTCAATCAGGAGGCTCTCAAGAGGCCTCCAAAACGGCCCACGAAGCTTATCATAGGTCCCCCAGGAAGGCCCGAAGAGGTCAACATCACTGATTTTCCTGAGATGGTTTTCAAAGGATGTTGGGTTTTGCGCGTCTTTGGTTTTCCGACGGCCCAAGATGGCCCAATAGGCCTCCCAAATCGCCACCAGATCGCCCGAGAGGCCTCCAAGAGGGCCCCATGACGGCCCTCGTGGGCCCCCAAGACGGCCCCAAGACGGCCAAAGAGGCCCCCAAGAGGTCTCCAAGAAAACCCAAGAAACCTACAAGAGGGCCTCCAGAAAGGCCCGAAGAGGCCAAACTCATGTATTTGCCTGGGTTGTTTTGAAAGATGTGGGCATTTGCTTCTCTTCGGCCTTCCGACGGCCCGAGGCGGCTCGATAGCCCTGAAGAATCGCCCAAGAGGCACCCAGGGTGGCCCCAGAACGGCCCAGGAGGCTCCCACGACGGCCCCAAGAAGACCCCCAGACGGCCCAAGAGGCCTATTTCGCTTCGAAGTTCCGACGGGCGTCATGGGCCGCTTTTGGGACCCAGCGCCGAACACCCGAGAACCTGGTTATGCGAGGCCATATGCATCTTCCATGCACGTCCAGCCGCTGGAGCAGGCGGCTGCTTTTGAAACGACGGCTAGCCAGGATGTGCCGCGAAACGCTCCCTACTCGCGGTGTGCTGCTGCTTCCTCGCGGCGAAGGTCTCACCGATTGGGGCAAGCATCTTAAGCTCACGGGTTTCTACGTCGTCTGCGACTCAGTTGCACTCGACGCATGGCCACTTTTTTCGTTGGCGGCGAGGCGGCGGA